AAGGCATTCCAGAGTGTCCTGGAATAAACTATAGCTCATTAAAATACCCAACCAGGACTTGAGACATCAGATAGCTCAGTGATTAAAGTGCTGGTCACAGAAGCAAGAGAATAGGAATTTGTATCCCCAGGACCCACATGAATGCAGTGACATAGCAGCCCACCTCTAACTACAGCCTCTGAAGGTAAAAACAGGACCCTGGCCAGGCGAAAAAACAAACAAAACATAAAAAACCATCATCTCTGATGTGGCAGCCACATTTAATTTTAATTAAGACTAAGTAAGAACTGGGTAGTAGGTCAGTTCCTGTGGGAAAGGGGAGAGTCCCAGCAGGCTTTACAGCTGTCAGGAAAACAGCCTTGGGGAGGGAAGAATGAAGGTAAGTTCAGCCTGACTTAGGTAACCAGTGCTGGGCCAAACTTTGATAGTCTGACACCAGTTGGTTTACTTTAGCCATGTCTAAGCACAGCACAATTTTGAGAAAAGAAAAGGTTTTCTGATAACAACCCAGTCCCATGAGTATAACAGAGCTTAAGACATGATTACCTTAAAATTCTTTACAAAGTACATCTGGCTTCTTTCACAAAGATGGGTTCTGTTGACTCAGATATAACTTAATGTTCAGGATTTAGGGTCCAGAGAAAACAACTGATGTGAGCATAATGCCTGTGGGTGTCAGAGGTGGCCTAGCCCTAAGACAAGACAGAAGTTACTTGGTCTGATGTAAAGGCCAAGTGGTATCACTCCTAAGAATGGGTTTTACGGCCTAGAAACAATGCTCAGGATTTAGGGGGAAAGGATCTGAGATAAGAAAAGCATAAATTCTGGGGGATGTGGGTTTGGCTCAGTAGATAACAAAGGCTGACCAGGCTGTAAACTACATCTATCCCAGCATTCCAGGAGGAAGACAGGCAAACATCTCCTTCCTCTGAAGGATGCCTGCATGTTTACCTTTCCTAGCTTCCACAGTGCTTACCAACGTACATAAGGACATTTTGCTTTCTACAAGTTCCCGTATCCATAGCTCTTCTGGAGTCAACCAGAAACAGATTTCTTTTTTCTTCATTCGATGTTCTTTCAAATTAAAAACGCAATACAATTGTAGCTGGAGAGATGGCTCAGTAGTTAAGAGCACTGGCTACTGTTCCAAAGGACCTACTGATTTCCAAAACTCATACTGCAGTGCACAATGTCTGTCCCAGGGCTCCCAATGCCCTCTCTTGGCTGCTGTGGGCACCAAATACACACACTGCAGTCATAAGTGAGGCAAAGCACTCATCCAAACCCACAGGAGCACGTGGGGGAACAGGACCTGTCATTCATAAATATTTCATGACCCACCTTTTTAACATTACGTCATAGGCACCTGTACTAAAAACAGAAGTAGTTTCTGAGTGTGATGGAACCATTCACAGCACAGTTGTGCATGACCTAAGGATTTAAGATGCTGGATGTTCAAGTTCATAAAAAAAATCAACCTGGGACAGTGGTGCTGAGTTTTTTTTGTCTCACACCAATTTAGATTAATGACACAGATTCCTGTGGAATATAAGATGGGAGCAGGCTTTATTAAGAATTAGCATAGAGCAGGGCGTGGTGACACACGCCTGTAATCCTAGCACCTGGGAGGCAGAGGCAGGCGGATAGCTGTGAGTTCAAGGCCAGCATGGTCTACAAGAGTCCAGGACACCCTGGACTACACATAGAGAAACCCTGTCTTAAGAAAGCAAAAGCCAAAACCCAAAACGAATTATCACAGAGTAATCAAGAGTTGAAGAAAAAGTGAGAAGGCACTCATAACCCTTTTTTACTTTAGCACCCACTCCTACTGGAGCATACTTATCAGAGATTTGTAAGTTTTCACCATGGGTCCTTTTCCCTTACTGCCTATTACGAGCTAGCACCTGCCTAAGAATGATACATACAAATCTCTAAAAACTAAAATTCTAACACTTGCTGAGTAGCCCTATTCTGTGTAGCTTTGGGAACCTGACTAGACCTATCCCAACCCAGTTGGGAGGTCTCTTCCTCCCACAAAATATGGCTGACCTACAGTGTTCCATCCCCCTAACAGTTCTCTCCCTTCTCAGAAACTGCTTCCACTTAAGCTTCACAAGCCCTGGCATGAATGGCCAGTTTCATAATCTTTTTCTGATAGGGAAGAACGGGTTTGAACCCCCCCTGGACTGGTCTGGAGCTCAGCTGGCTACTGTAGTGGTGGGAACTCTTCCCACAGGATTCCCAGGGCTGGATCAACCTCATGGAAACATCTGAAAAAACAGAATGACAGCTAAGGCAGGTCCATGCCCAGATGAGTCTCAAGGATACCTAGGCTCCTGCAACATCTCCTTGTGTACTGTGAATTTTATCAGGATCTGTAAAAACCAAAACAAAACGAAACGCTCTCTTTTTGCTGAAGTTGGGAAGCTGGGTTTCAGTCCCCAGGAGCCAGGAAGCCTCACTCAACAAGCACCCTTGGCACACAGCCTGCTCTGGAATACTGCTTGGACACAGTCCTCCTGTGTTTGCTTTTTTCCCCCTTTTCAGGAACTGTAAAACCCTCTTCTGGGTTATTCAGGAGCACTTCCATACTGCCAGGCCTGCACCTGAGTTCTGCTCATGCTGTACTGAATTCTTCCAGGTTGCTTCCTGGAAGAACAGGGTAGCTGTTGTGTGACTGTTCTGCAGAAAGGTGAACCTGATCATCTTTTGGAATCTTTGTCAGAACCACCAATGGCACCAGTCTAATGTTTTGCTCATTAAAGTTTGCTTAGGTGCTATCTGGATTTTTAGATAAAGTCAATACAGAGAAAGACTGTCACATACACACACACACACACACACACACACACACACACACACACACACACAGCCTAACTTTATGTAACAAACTTATTCATTTCTATTTTCATTTTCAGATGAAATTAAAATGAGAAGATATTCTTAGGTCAAATGTTATCTATGTTGTCTTTGAACATAAGGTTAGATAAATCTTTAGCTTTCTTAATATTTCAGAGCCTTAGCAAAAATTAACAAACTCAAAGGTCTAGCCCAGTTTCTATAACTCAAAGTCAGAAGCATTCTTTCTACCACCCGTCAGGTCTCTGGACTAAATGTTCCTGCAGGCTCAGTGTCCTTAAACCAGGAAGGTGCCTTGTTTACAAGCCCTGGAACCACACGCACAGCCCATTCGCTTGCTGTAGGATGTGTCACTCCCAGTGTGAGAGAAATAAGGAGTAAAGACCCAAGCACCACTGCAATATGCCCTAGTGTCTGTCCTTCTGGCAGTACACTATATCCTGGTAGGTGACAAGCAGCTGTAATTTCAGCATTCTGGAAGTTCTGGTAGGAGGATTATGAGTTCAAAGTTAGCCTTGGCTACACAATAAGGAACCTGCTTCAAAAACAAAACAGAACTCAGTTGTCATGTGTCCCATTCCAGGTACATGATAGTATCTCTGGGCTTTGAGTGGCAGAGTGCATGCAAAGCCACAGATTCAATCCCAAACACCACAAAACAAAAAAGGATAGCTATAGTTTCCCACCCTTGGCGTCTCTGAGCCAAGTGTCCAAACTATCCACTGTAAGAACTCCACACTCTCCCAGTTAGTTTTTAAATGACTTAACTTTCTTTATATCCCT